GTTATGTTCAACGAAAATTGTAAGGAAGTTAGAAATTGAAAGTAAATGAGTAAAAATAATTAATTAAGTGAGTATTCATGTAAAAATAATTTTTTTTGCTTTTGACCTCAGTAATAACTAATTAAAAATCTTTTTAATTAACCAGAAATATTTATCTGGACCCTATTACACTTTTTCTTTTCAATTTTTTTAAAAAAGTACTAATTTTGTTAGTAGGTATAGTTCATTAGTGTTTGATTGTTGGCACAACATAAACTTTGCAAATTTTTTGATTAAATGTTTGATTAACAGTTGGAAAATTCGTTCTGTCAACTTCACGTTAAGTTATATTATTTTGTGTAATTGTAATTTCATTATCACAATTTCAACGCGTACACACATAAAACCTATGTACGAAATAAATTTACAGGAAAGGGTTAAATAATAAAAAAAAAGTTCAATATCATACCTCAAGCACAAAATTTTTTAATGGCTCATTAATATGATCCTAACTAAATCCTGATCCCAACTAATATATACTCGATTTGAGTATTTCAAATTTGTAAAAATATCCACATTTTCTATTACATCTGCATGACCTGTACATTTAACCCTAAACACTTAATTGAAAATGAATAAGTAGAGTAATTTAATTTCATGAGATTTTTTTTCTTAAAATTGTAATGAAATATAAGTAGATTCACTTGCATATTTTTAACTCTAACAAAAAATATTTTCAAAATAGGTCAAGGTTTAATGGATCCTTACAAAAAAAATTTAATAAACAATTAAGTAGCAATTTAATAAATTTTCTAGTTTTCTAATTGAAATTTAAATTGAATGGTTAGTTTTTATTTATAATTGCTTCATGGCTACCAAATTGTAAATTTTGTATTTTATTTGCATATTATCATTCATCATTTACCGAAAATTTTACGGAAGAAAACGCTTTTAACTTGAAAATCCTTGCTTATGTGTAATTTCACAACTCAAAATGTGAAAAGTTTGCAAATAATTCAAATTTAGCCGGATTGAACGAAAACAGACTATTTATAAGTAGATCTAGCTTATAAATAGATAAAGCTTGAATATACATATTTAGTTTTTTTTCAATAAAATATTTTCTAAATTATAGAAATGTATTCTTAGTTTGAAGTAACGTTACTTTGTTACAATTCATAAGTACTTTTACTTTGTATGCAACTTCTATTACTAAAATCTACTGAAAGAATTCCAATTAAATTAGAAGAGCGTGGATCAAAACTGTTTTTTTTTAATTCCTTAACACCATACCTAAGTAAATACACCTCAATTCATATTAAGTTGTTTTGATAATAAGATTGCGTCATAAACCGATTTCATGCTGTTTTTAGCAGTGAAGGACAAATAAGTATATAAAACGCTTAAAGTAAATAAATAATAAAATAAGTATATAACATTCAAAGTAAATTTTATTCATAAATACATATTGAAATCTCAATCATAGGATAAGGAAGCTATTCTCATCTTTTCATAACTCAATTTACAGGCGAAACCCACGAAATGTAATTTTCCACATAATTCCGAAAAGACGAATTAGCAACGAAAACAGATAAAGTTTTAGATTATTAGTCAAGATTAATAGAATTTTGAAAACCGATAAAATATTTTATTTTATTTCAGTTTTGAAACAAACTAATTAAACTTACAAAATTCACATACATATGTACATATACAAATAAATGAAAAATAGTTTCCCTACAATATAAATGTAAATTTATGATTTTAACACATTCAATTCTTTATGCTTACCTTCATAGTGTAGTTTAAATAAGAACTAAAACTTCTCATATACTTATATGCAAACATGTCATGGCGCCCTATTTCTTAAACATTGATTATCAATGGGTCACTTATACAAGTAACTATGTAATTTATTTTTATTGCTTATTCCTAGAGAGTAACTTTAAAATAACTGCCCTTTCACATTTTTTTTTTCTTTTTAGTTTTGTTAAAAGCAAATTCAAAAAAGTGTGTTCTTTAAGTGTTCAAATAATATGGACATAATTACAATTATTTGTGTATAACTTTGTAAGTGTCTTACTGCAACTTTAAATAATAAGACACGCAATAATAACAGCACAACAGCAGCAGCAACCATATAATTGTGTGACACAAAACAGAGGAAAATAATGTCATCGATTGGGTCAATGAAAATAAGTATGTGAGCAGAAGAAAATCACATTTTACTTCAATAAAAAAGAAGAAACTAAAAAATATTTTAGTAAATAAATAAAAGAAAAAAGAGCAATAATAAAAATAAGTGTAAGTAAATAAATAAATAAGTGTTGTATTTTTAGGGCTCGAAAACTCAAATAATAAAAATAACAGGAAAAGAAAAGCAAAAACAGAGGAGGTGTTGATACGATTATCACTAATAGTTACAAAAAATTTTACACGATTACACGATGTTGCAGTTCCAAAATGCATTCTTTTGTAATAAATTTCGAAAACTGAAAAAATTCAAGTAGGTTTTAAAATATTCATAACTCAAATAATTTTTTTCTTTTATTAATAAATGCATAATGACTATGAAAATATTGAATGTTAGATATTCGAACAACAAAAAAGAAGCGATAAGCGATTTAATACGACTTGGTAGTTAAAATTTGTAATATAAAGAAGTCACAATATTGAGAAATATGATAACAATCATAAATAGAAAATAAAAAAAAAATCCAGTTGAAAAAATAAATTTTAACTTTCTCCACACTTACTTGTGTCACAGCCTTATAAATTAAGACTAAATTATTTCATATGCAAAAGGAAAAGGTAGATTTTCCGGTATCAAAAAAATATATGTAAGTATATATTATACTATTTGTAACAAATTAAAGATTGATCATAAACAGAGGCAAATATTAAGAACACCAAGAAATGGAGAAAGAAAAATTTAACAAGTACACAAAAAATTAGTAATTTTTGATGTCTTATTATTTTAACAGTGTGATTATAAAATCAATTGGAGTCAGTTTAATTTTAAAGCGGATTGTCGGAAAGCAGATGAACTGAAGAGTTTTGTTACATAGTCAAAATGCAATTTTTTAACATACATGCGCCTAATACAAAAAAAAGGTTGTTAAATTTAAATTATTTATCTTAATTAAATTCCTTTGTGACACAAAATACACGAAAGTCTTAAATATTCATTTGTTATCATGATTCATGATGAAGCACAAAAAGTTTTATTGAAAATAGTTAAGTACCACTCAGTGAGCAAACCGCATGCTGTTGAAAAATAAGCTAATTTTCAATAAGTTTCTTTTAACAAATTGTAAAATCAAAAAACAGGGAAGGAATATAGTATGTGGTTCTTATGTAGTTCAAGTTAACAGAAATAGTCACATTGAATTACTCACTTAAGTAAGAAAGCGAGAAATTTTTGATAATTCAATCACAATTATATAAATAATTAACAAAAAGGATCTTGTTAAAGTAATCAAGTAAATAAATTTATGTAGTTATTTACTAATTAATTAAATGATAACGAATTTGACGAAAATTGCAAATGCCTACCTAAGCATTTTGTAGGACGTGAGTTAAATAATATAACAGTTATAAGAACTCGGACATATTAATTATATTCGAAATATTTCTTCATATTTTTCTACATAGAATAATAAAATAAATCTGTCTATTCTAAAATATTAGTGATACGAGTATTTCCAAATTATCGAATGCAATACTTAATAGAATATACTGACTCAAAATTAAAACTAGTCCTTATTTGCTAATTAGAATGCAATTTGTAATTGGACTGTTGATGTTGAAGGAATTTTTTACTTTAAACTGAAACGCAAGCAAATTAAAGAGCGTTAGAATTGAATCGCAGATACTTGATATAACTTTATATTTACAAGTAATGACCCTTAAACAAATTTTATACTAAACAATTTCTTCTAACAAATAACTGCAAGCCCTTTCTATTTAAAGTAAAAAATATGTTAACATTTAATTTATATTCATTTCCAAAAATACACGTCGTACATATTAATGACTTTTTTTTCATTTCATCTTTTCTCTTCATCAAAATCAATAAAAACGTATTGATCCAGACAGGAAGTATTCCTAGTTTTTATCTCTAACCAACAATAATAAACATTTTTTTTTCAAAATTTTAGTATGTATCTAATGTTTTCTATATTGAGATAGAGCATTTTATATGTATAATTTTTCACTATAGCTTTATACTTACACAGGTAAGTATATTACGTATGTATGGGCACGTATTGCTGGGTCCTTATTATCCTTAAACATTTACTAAAATACATCGTAATAACCATAATGGATACATAACTGCTTTTTAAATTTTTTTTAAGTGAAAATATTTCTAAAATTATTTTTATGTACAATTGTATCTGACTTATGTACATAGTTTTGTATATATAGACCTAAAATACGCACAGGTCACGAGCTAAGTCAGTGCAAGTACAAATTCAAGTTAATACAAGTACCAATTTAATGTAAAAAAAACTCAAGAATATTTATATTGTGAAGGTCAGAAATAAAAAAGGATCTTTTAAATACATATACATATATATACTTATATGTACACACGCACGCTTCCTTTCACAAGAAAGTACATCCTTTTACGTTAAGTTTTAAGAAGGTATTTACATCGTTATATGCTAAGCTTGTAATACCTTGCTGTCTTCAAGCATGTTGGCTTTCAAGTATAAGCCCTTTCTTAAAACCATCTTATCATTCACATCACATAAAAACTTCTACAAATGCATTCTTCCACATGACGACTACGCAAAATCAACATGTACACAAAACTCAAAGTATTCAGAAAATTCATTCGATTAAGTAGACGGCCAAGCTCTTTCAATTTCGCAAAAATAAACTAAACATATTTAAGTAAGGAAATTTTTTCAAATAAAAAATCGTTTCTGCCTGAAATACCAGTGAATGTTCTTTTGTTTATACAAGATCAAAAAGCTGCCTAATATTACAAAAAAAAATAAAATAAATTTTCTCACCTTTCTAATTCTGGTAAACGCTTCAATTCTTGCATATCCAATTCTAAACGTAAATTAGAAACTTCACACAAAAGGCGATCACGATCATTTGTTATTTCTTTGAGTTTCTCTCTTAGAGCATAATTTTCCAAAATTAGTTCATCAATATTAATTATTTGGGTTATATTGCCGGGATTAATATTCATATTAATATTCATATTTGAAATAGATTTCGATAATTGATTTTGATTAATTAAAGTTGGAGTTACACCATTACTACCAGCAGCAGCAACATTTCCACTTCCATTACCGCTACTAACATTTAAACTATTAATAGATCCACCAATTTCAGCTGCAGGTATTGCATTAATATTCATACTGTATAAATCATGCGGTGTTAACATTGTATTTTTATCCAAAGATCCATATGGAATACCAACACCAATCAATTGATGTGGTTGACCAGCTGCAATTAATGTTGCTGCTGATGCTGATTTTACTGTTGCGGCAGCAATATTTACTGCACTCATATTAATATTATTACTATTTTTAGAATTTTTTATACAATTATCAAATTGATGAAGTTGCTGTGGAGAGCTTGTGTCAAATATTAATGAATTATGTTTTGATGGACTTTGTGCTTGCATTGTTGTAGCTTGAATTGAACACATTTTTATTGGTGAATGTATGCATTCAATACCACCGGCACTAATTCCTGTTGGAGTTGTGGAAGTTAATCCTGTTGCTGTTGAAGTATTAACAGATTCACTATCACACATTATGATTTATCGTTAGAACTTTTTTTTTAATGTGTTATTATTTGCTATCAATATTACTATTATCTTGGATTTGTTGTTGTTACTGGTATTTGTTCAAGCTTACATTATAATGTGAGACTTAAGAATTTTTTTTTTTTATTTTCGATAAGGACAGATATGAAATATTTATGTGCGTGCACACATACGTACTTATATTAAATTTATAATTCTTATCAAATTATATACAAGAGATAAGTACAACTTAAATGGGAAAACTTTATTTTAAATTTCAAATTTATTATTCCTTCAACTTCTTTTTGGTTTAATTTAATGCAAATTTCCTGTAATTTTCAATCACTTTTTCATTATTTAGACTTTTTACTTAAAATATTTAAGAATAACTATGACACACTAGTTTTTTAATAATTTTAATTTTACATTTTAAAGAAATTTAAAGCTAAGTGAACTTTAAAAAATTTTAAATTTTAAAATTTTCAAAAATTTTACAATACACAAAAATATAAAAATTACAATATAAAAAACTCTTTCTGTATATCTTTTACGTGCACACCAATAGGTACATGACCCTCCGCTAAGGATATAAAATTCCTTATTGGATATTTTTAAACGCATTCGATTTTAACCAACAAATTTTACCCGCAAAAATCATCGGATACTCGAACTGAAATTTAAAATACATTCACATTTTATTATTAAATAAAAATTTTTCTTTATAAAACTTTTTAATAATTATTAAATATAAAAAATTTTTTAATTAATTTCGTATTAATTCAACCGAATTTGCGTGGGTTAATCCCGGACAAAATAAATTTTTTTTTTTTTAATCGTTGAAATGCATAAACTTTTCGCTTTCAGATATGTATAAGATTTAATGCTTATTTTTTTGTTGTTATTTATTCCAGATTGCACCACCAACCACGAGTAACGCAATATTTCTGGTATTCTCTTTTCTTCTTTTTAAATCTTTACCATTTGATGAGATCTTTCAAACTAGTTCTAGTCTTGTTGAAAAAAAAACATTATGTGAAAATTGAAAAATAAACAAAACAAATCAAACATCAACCAACGCACACAAACAAAATAAAAATGGCATTTTTATTCATTTTTATGTATGATTGCATGAAAAGGTCAGATTTCGAGAATCGAAAAATTATATTTTGATTATTTCATGTATGACATTTGCTGTCAGTAGTACAACATTTTCACCGTGTGCCAAATTGTTTGGTATGGAATTTTTCTTTGTTTACTTTGTAGTTTGTAATATTTTAAATTCAATAAAATGAAAGAAATTCGGAATGCAGTAAATACTTATAAAATATTCTTACATCCTCCATGTCAAAGAATAGATTTTAACAATAAAATAATAACCATTTAATGTCTCAAAAATAATGTAGATAAATATACATACATAATACATAGGTTCGAATTTTTGTAAGAATTTGACATGTTCCAACAATTTTTTGTAAATTATGCTTAATTAAAACACGATTATTTTAAATTTTTAGCTAAAAAGTCATTTATTACGTTTAAGATGCAGTATAATAAGCCTAAAATGGCAGATAATTAAATTTATGCCACTGAAATAATGAAATTTATGTCTGTAAGTTGTAACTAAATAATTTTTTGTTTTAATCTAAACTCTAAGACTTAAGGCTTGGCTAAGTGTTAAATTAATTTTGGTTGTCGTGTTTTATAAGCAAAATCTTATTTTTGTAAAGATAACTGTGAAACGAGAAAAAAATGTGAAGTTTTATCAATCGAAAGACCATGTCAACGAGAGTATTAAAGAAAATATAAAAAATTTTGACTTCATATGACTTTCTTTGTGTCATTTGGCTGAATCAATAATTTTTTATTTCTCTCAATTTTGTGCTACCACAAGTCACAACTTCCATTTCTATTTTCAACGCTTTTTATTTAATAAATATATATATATATATATATATATATATATATATACGATATTAATGAATTATGTATTTGTGTTGAACAGACCTAATATTTTTTGATCAAATAGACTTAATAGATGACTTAATTCTTGTATCTCTACCGTAGCCTTAAAAAATACGTTCTTCGAATTCAGAAAAACAAGTGAGATTTAAAAAAGGATGGTTTGGGTCCGAAATAGAAAAATCTTTTTATTGTATGTGTATTTTAATTTTGAAACCTAATCTGAAGTTAGATTCATAAATAGAAGATTGATTTTGGCAGTTGTAATACATTTTTTTTTATTCCATTATAACAAATTAAAAACTCAAAATTTTGGCTTGACTTTCATTAAAATCTGGGGTACAATTCCATCTACAAAATTCAAAACGAATATTGTGCAAGTTAATGAAATAAAATTCATTTCTGCTACACCTGCGCTAGCAAATTTACGGGCGTTGAACTAAAATCAAGATTTTGTTCTAAGTTTTTTTAAATTATCCCCACAGACACAGTTTCTGCACATTTGTTTAATACTTAAAATTTTAAATATAAAATAACATTGGAAACACTACAGATGACTCTGTTTCGGGATAAAAATTTTTGTTGTTGAGTTTCTGAATGACAGATGTCTCTTCACTAATTGTTAAATGTAAGTACATTTTTCTTTTGCGTTTGCGTCTACAATACAATTTAGTTTTTGATAGTTTTTACACGCCATCTATTGACAAGTATGCAAAAGCAATTAAAAAAATTATTATGTGCCATCTTTCATAGAATAGAAACATTTTTGTCATTAATTAAGCATTATGCCACATAGATCGTGGTGCTTAGTTTTTTAAAATTTTGAATATAAAAAAATTGAATTTAATAAGTAACAATGTAAGCAAAAAATTTAATTTAATTTGGAACAATAATATTTTAATAATATTTTAATATAAAAGATTAAATTTTATCGAAAAATCAGTGGAAAATTTATTGTAATCAGTTGTATTAAAAAAATTAAAAGTCAAGAAAAAGTAAAATGACAGAATAAAAGGGAGAATTAGAGGGAAGGAAAGCATCACTAACAAAACGCTTGTAGTATTGCTTTTAATAATTCCGTATTTCACTGTGGAACAATGAAAAGAAAAGGCACAACTGCTTTTGCAGTTCTTTCACCAATAAGCCTCAAAAACTGTTTTAAACTAAAACCAGATATAATGTAAGGTTCTTTTTGGCGAAATTTTTTGAAAAGTTTAAAAATTTTGTGTTGGTACAAAAAAATTTTATTATTTCACCTATTGTGTACGTAGATGAAATTTATAAGAAAATTTGGTTGTTTTTGCATTTGCTATTTCATCTCGTTTTCAATGAATTTATATAGTGGGTATTATGGAAGAGCTACGAAACTGCATTTTTGAGGATTTTGAGTGAGAACAGAAAGATTCAGAATTTTCTAAGGTATCTTTATAAAAAACGCACGTTACTCTATCGTTTGTATTTTCGGAATAATAACGTTGTAAATTTTACACGTATCTGTAAAATACCGACCATACGCAACGAAAAACAATCAAAATGGTTTTAGCATGAGCAGGTTAATTTCAGAACACGCGGCAATAGTGATAATAGTATTGCTTTGAAATTATTAATAAAAAAATATTTTTTCCATGTTCCCAAGTGTTTGAAATAAGCATGAGAAAAATGGCATTGTTGTGCAAAATCATATTATTAGCAAAGCAAAAGCTCAAGAATTTATAACCAAAATGAGGAGGTTTTGTTACCCGGTTGTGAACAAAATCGGAATTTTACTACGTATAATCAATATCTGCTTCGACTTCTGAAGAGGTTGGGTACATACTATTCAATTTTGGGATAAATAATCAAAAAACCGAAGCTTGTTATGTGTGTATGACTGGAAAATTGACCATACCTTTAATATTCAAATAAAATAACGAACCATACCCGTTTCGTACAGAACGAACCATAGTATTTAACGTTTCATGCCTGCGCGATAATTGCATTGAAATAACGCCGACCATAAATTAAAAAGATTCACAGAACTATGCCGCAATAATTTTCATAAGTATCTTCACTTTTATTTCCTGAAAAACACAAATAAAAAAAATTCCCAAGCAATTTTATAAAGAAAATTTACACTAAAACAATCCAATTAATAGATAAGTGTCCAAATTTCCTTTTCTTCAAACACAATTGAATACAGAAGTACCTACTCATAGATTCTAGATGCATATACACCGGTATCAATCAGTTTAGAGAGGTGAAGACCATATAAACAAAGTACTTCTCATCTTATTCAAAATTTAATTTCTATTGCTCAAAATAACAATCAAAAAACAAAAACAAAAACTCTTTCTATTTCCCTCACGAACAATAGGAAGTTTTTAAATTTTTAAGACGTTTAAAATTCAGAGAAACTCTTAAAACCTTTTCTATAAAGTTTTGACATTTTTTTTTTTATAATTATGGGAAGAATAAAATGTTGTTAAAACGCATTGAAATTTAAACTTTTCTTTAACCAAACCAATTATTTTGTGTACCTATGCGATTTAAAGTGAATTTTGTTTAAACACGGTTTCAATTGACATTCCAATTGAATATATGCGATTAAATGAAATAATTCGAATGAAATTCGAACAAAGTATAGGGTCTATCAATATTAAACATGGCTCTAATATTAAATCCAGTATGTAAGAGAAGATAATATAAAAATTACATAATGAGACACGGATAAGATTAAGAATATTTATTGAATTAGGTGCACTTATAAATGACAAAGTCAGAATGTAGACAACGGTGAAGCTAAAATTTACATTAGAAGGTATCCAAAGGTCTCGTCTATGCATTTTTCGATTCAATAGAATTCTAATGTAAATCTTTCGTGCTAGTCTATCTGTTATCTACGGCCGTTCTTTATATCATATCGTAAATTTTGATCGAATTGGGTATGGTATACTTTAAAAGTAAATTTTTTTAAATTCGACTCTAATATCAAAAACTAGGAGTACACATTTCGAACTTCTAAACTAAAAGTCTTTGCCCACTATGAATTTATCATGGCTGACGGTTCTGGCAAAATTTTACTCAATAAAAAGTTTGTACTCTTAAGCTACGGAACCAAGTGAGAATTAATTAACAAAATACGGATAAAATTGTAAAAACATACAAATTGAAATTTGAATGATTGTACTTTATTGTTTGGAGCCATAATTAAGTTACATAAATTTACAAGAAGGCCTAATTTTAATGAAAATCGTGAACTTCTCATAAAACATTTCAAATTATTTGATAGCGTGTTTATCCATTAAAAATTCCATTTTCATTTAAAATGTTGTCGAGACTGGACGATATAACTTGCACTCAGATTACAAATTCTTACTTGTGATGTAATATCACTTACATTATAAGTCAAAATTTTTGGCTTGCCCGTTTTGTTATCATTTTACTCTCTACCCTTATGTTAATGTACAGCGAAATTGCCAAGCTACATATTTGCATTATTGCCTGTAAAGTTTGTGAAGTTAAGGCTTGAAGAGCTAGGGCGCTACATATAACACCTGATAAATTCTTGACATCGTAAATGTAAAATTTCGAAGACAAACACTAAGAGACAATCTTATCCTAACTGGGCAATCTTGTACTCGCATTTCATTTATGGTTAAAAAGAAGCGTTCGCATGATTGACGATTCGTGCGTTTCTATAATAATTTTTTTTTTTATTTTTTTAATAGCACAACTCTTTAATTTACATTTCGGTTTTATTTTCTATTTTTTTTTTTGTATTTAATATTTGATTTCCTCTAGAAAATTTAAGCTTTTTATTTTATGTAGCTGTTATTGTGAGCATGATGAATTAAAAATCTTTTGATAATTTTCAAATAAAAATAATAATTACTTTTCAGGTTTATAAAATGAGTAAAATATTGGTATTAAATACTAGGTTGACTGATTGAATGACGGAATAAAATTATGCGGTTAAATAACAGAGGAGAGATAGTGAGACTGTAGCAGATGAACAAGGCATTTTGTGTATTTTGGAGTACGTACA